AAAATTTCAAAAATAAAAGCAGAACTATGTATCTAGACAATAGATGAGGCAACAGCAAGTAAAAGAAGATGTGAACCTTGTCAAAATGATAAACGTACAAGGATCACGCGGTTCAGCTGTGAAATTTGTCAGAAATTCATCTGTATGGAACATTCAAAGCACATCTGTCAAGATTGCAAAGCTGCGATACAGTAATATGTGTAGTATGCAACATCTAGGAGACATCATCTTTGGGTTTTATGTCACAGTTTTTGTTTATGATAAAATTCAATAAAAATTGTTAAAAAATACAGTATCTATCAATCTTTCACCAAATATTATGAAATTTCATTACCTGCATCTTAAAACAACTAATTAGCCATTAACCTATCTAGTAAATACACGCGACCTTTATTGTTGGTATAAATACTGCGCACGTTGGAAGGGTGAAGGACTAAGTGCGATAAACTGTACCTTTTTTTTTGACTACATATCGATACATCAATTCTAGATCGTAACAAGACTAAAACGTCAATTGTTGGAAAAATAAGATTAAAGTTTTTGGGCTCTTTCAAATACTGATTGTTATTTAGTACTCCAAGGTGAAGAGGTAAAATTTTTTAAATATTGTTCTCAACCATGTATGCAAATGAATGGGTTTACGTACTTAATGTACCGGACTGGATCCTGCGGGAGAAGGAAATATTAAGAGCAGATAGTTGTTGGTTCACAATTGGATCAAAAACGCCTACCGGTTCTGGTGCAGGTGTTTTCAGTCGCAGACCCAGGACAGAGTTATCTACCACCTGCCTAGGAACTTATGCGACTGTATTTCAAGCGGAAATTTACGCTATAGAATTGTGTGCGGAGAGATTGGATAAATCCAACCTCACTCACAAGTCAATAAAAATATTCTCGGACAGTCAAGTAGCGTTGGAAGTTCTTGGCTCCCACCGAGCAACGTCTGAATTGCTAGCAAACTGTCAAAAAAGACTCTCCTCGATAGGAAGACTGAACATATTGTCTCTGGTCTGGATTCCTGGCCATACTGGCCTGGAAGGCAATGAAGCTGCTGACTCAAAAAACAGATTTGGCAAATGTTGAGAGGATGTTGTAGTTCAAGGATTCCAACTCTGTAAGTAGACATGTAGATAAATTCTGACTAGAAACTTAGGTTTGCCCAACTAATGAAAAATTCACAAAAACAACATACATTCTATCTATGGAAAATTCAAAAATACATTTAAGAGCAGATCATGTGTCTGTAAAGGACAGCTATTATCACAATTTACTACTAAAACTCACCTTATCTCTAAACATTTTTTATTTCTTGAATATACCTCCTTTAATTTGTTACAATCAATTAAAGGCAAAGGAATATAGACTTTTCTTTCAAACTTGCCTTTTTCAGAATCCATAAGACTTTTACTTCTATCCCTTTCTTTTTTAACCCTATTTATTTTCCTGTTCATTAAATCTCCATCTGATGAACTAGACGAGTCTGAAAGAACTTCTATAACACCTTGTTTTTTTGAAAGTCTGTCGCTTGCTCTTCCCTTAGATCTTGACGATTCTTCGCCAAAAATTTCAAAGGAAGAGGCTCCTGAATTTCTCTTGAAGATTTTTCTAAGATTTGCTTTAGTTTTAAGACGACTTTTTTCTATCTTCTTCAATCTGGTAGACTTTCTAGATCTAGTCTCATCTTCATCACTAGTCAAAACATTTTTATCACTATTAGATTCAGAATTTTCCTTTTCCGATTCTGAGGAATATTTAGATTTTGAATTGTCCTTACTTTTTTTGTTTTTCTCTGAAGTCAATGACCGATTTTCAATTTTCATTATTTTCTCACGAGGTTTTGCACTTGAATCACTTTCATCAGAAGTATTATCTTCATGTCTATTCATTTTGTGTTTCAATTTTTCAGTGCCTTTACCTTTTGTTTGTTTTTCATTAGATCCTTTGGTTTCATTTTCTTCACTGGATGAAGGAGATTTTTTTAAAACAGATCTTAATATTGATGCAACATCTGGAGAATTTTTCTTTTTTTGTGTATCTACAGATTCTTCATCGGAACTTGTTAATATTATAACAGAACTGTCAAACTTAACAGATTTTTTTGGTTTTGGATCCAGAAGCTTACTGAGGTCAACCAATCTAATTAAAGATTTTGGAGGTTCTACAGGTGTTTCAAGTTTATTAGATTCATTTGTCTCCAGAGAGTTATCTTTTTTCTCCAAAGTATCATCCACTAAAAGGAGTGTTTCTTCACTAGAATCAGATTTATCCTGGACAATTTCAGTAGAACATTCTTCATTTGTAATTTTTTCTGAAACATGATTTTCTTCATCCCCAGCTGAAATTTCTACAGGTTTATTTTTTGTCGATACGTGTTCAGTAATTACTGGATCAAGGTTATTGGAAGGTAATTTTTCACTTGCAGTTAAAGGCAAAGTATCATCAAGATAAGGTGAAGTATTATAAACTGAGGGTAATGTGTCATCTGACACTGGTTCTTGATCTTTAGGTAAAGGTAATGTCTCTTCACAGCTTGACTTTTGTGAAGAATTGATTTCTTCATCACCGGTCGCCAACTCTTGATCAACACTTGTACTTATGCTGGGAGAATTCACTTCTTTTTCTACATCTTCATTTTTAAAAATTTCCTCACCACTTGTATTGAATTTTGGAAGTTCATCTTTATCTGAACTATCTTTCCCAGAACCAGTTGTCTTGTTCAATAAAGACTCCTTAATTTCTTTATATTTTGTATAAAACTGGTCTTTGAGGTTGGAAGAACAATCAAAGAGTTTGTCGACCAGTACTTTCGATTTTTCCAGGGCATCTTGAGAAACAGGTATTTCATTGGCTTTGGCTTCTTCCAAGTATTTTTCAATTTCTTTCACATCCTGGCATATTTCCCTAATGTTTGAAGAGGTGTCCAGAATTAGGTTCAGAAATATGCTTTCCTTTGACATATCCTTCAATATTATCTGAAACTCAAGTAAATTCATAAAAAAGCAAAAATAGGAGATGAAACTTAGTATATACTTATTAGAGCTTAGAACCAGAATTGCAGAATTTACGACAGTAAAGATATTGTGAAAATAAATAAATAATAAGAGTGTAATATTTTATATTTTAACTTGATTATGAAGAAATTTACCTGCAAGTAAATAAAATTGTCAACAGAGAGCTTGTTAGCCAAAAAGCGCCATTTTACAATGTCTTCTGTCAATTGTCATTAATTAAGAATTATGTCACAATTCATAAGGTTTGTTCTGGTTCTACGAAATTCAGGTTCTAGTACGTCAGGATCATGTGCAGCTGCTATAGAGCGTTCTAGTTTATTGAGGATAAGTTCGGATTGATGAATCCTCTGTTCTGGTTTCGACTGCGAAATGATCCTAAACTGTCTTGAACCGTCCCGAATCGTTCTTGCACTCGATGCTGAACTATTGAGAACTGTTCCCGTTGCTCATTCGCATTCATGTGGAAATTAGTTTGGGCACCGACATAAGTAAACAGAAGTAAATTCACTCCCGTCGGCTCTTTTGATGTTTCGGATCAAGATTTTATTTTTTGCTAGCATGTGGCGGGGCAGAAGGGTGTTAGGTTAGGTCTAAAGTGAGTGAGTCTATTTGACCCTTCACCGCAACCCGCAATGGTTTATTGTGGCTCACACCTATTCACACTCGCGGCCAAATAAACCCAACTTCTTAACGAAGCCGATTAGTTTGTATGGTGAGTGATCTTTCGTGTCAGATGGTAAGAGTACGGATCTGCCGAACTCTAAGAACTTGATTCGGTCCCCAGCGGGGCAGGCACAAAGTATATGCTCTGCTGTTTCATCATTTTCCAGAGGCGACACACGCTGTCTTCCCACAGTCCAAGTCTCTGCATATGGTGATTCAAATGACAGTGACCAGTGAGAAGGCCTGTTAGGAATCACAAGGGCGAGAAATGTTGATTTTTGAAAACATTGTTTTGAGCTGGTTGCCTATGCAATCAGTTGCCCATAAATTGTTGAAATGATTAATAAATTATGTCTCTAGATGAATGATACATTGTAAAAATGAATTTGGAGGAATATATAAACTTTCAAACTGTTTAACTACTGTATTACCATATGCCTTGAAATTACTATATACATTTGTTTCATTCAGTGTGGTACTAGCCGCCGTGGCAAAATTTGTATATAATTCACATGAATGTTTTCTTAAACATTTTCTGTATGAGCATTTCCCGGTATATCAACTGTTGAAAATATAATTTTTAACTTTAGTATGAATACATTTCCCTAGAATACTTCCAGTCATAAATGAAAATGTGGCTCTCAAAAATTCCTTGACCTTATAGATCTCAATAGTCATTTGCAATTACGGCAGGTAGTCTAAAAAACTGTTCATATTTGGGGAGACTGTCTCGTATAATAGTAGAATTATAATCTCCTGTGAATGAATTGAAGGAATTGCCAAGGTCGTTATCGTTGTTCGATTTATTGAGAACCGTTATTCTTACCTGAACGAATTGTGGGGATTGCATCTTTATTTAGGCGTTTTTTTCTGGTTGACGTAAAATATTTCTTATCGAAGTGAAGATGACACAATGTCATGTTTTTGTGACATTTTTCCGGAGGAACATCACCAACAAACTCCACGAATTTCTTCCACTGCATGCATTTAGAGAAAATATAAATATAAAAAACAATACTCTTTATTCGCCCCAAGAAACATTTAGTATTTATAGTAAGGATACATTTGATACTTTGGTTTTGCAAAGATTTCAGTGGAAGTAATTGTTTTCCTACAGATACAAATCAAAACTTGATGTGGTTCAACAATTATTTTCCTTTGTGGATTTCCAGTGGAACTGGAGGCATATACTATTCGTAAAGTTCAATTTCATCAAATTAAATTCATAATGAAAGTCTGCATATTAATGACTCCACTCTATATGGTCTATAACAATTTATTTTATGATTTTCGTTATATGTTCATTACTTCAATCTTACATAATGAATAATAGAAAAACATACCTTCTTTGGTCAATTGGAAATCGAAAAAAAAAAGAATGTCGACATCACCCTGCAAATTACAGCAACCTACAGCTCGACACTTGCTCATTTTGGAACTAGACACACATTTTTCACGAATATAAAACCACCACTTACAACGACTCATACTCTGTAATAATAGCCCATACCTCAACTTGGCTCGCTTGGTAAATGCATCAGATTCAGTCGGTTGCGCTGTAGGTCGACTGAGCATAAAATTCGAGGTGGGGAATCTTGACCCAAAAATATGGCGGAGAGTGAACTTACTTGTGTTTACTTCTATACGGTGGTTTGGGCTATTTTCTAGGAAGTTTTTTTATTTATTTGATTTGAATAATTGATGACTGAGGTTAGATAACATTTGAACTGACTTCAAGGATACGCGCTACATAATAAAATGGACATAATCAACAGTATTTCCTCTTCTCAATCTCTTTACATATACGATAGGTGGCACAGTGTCTCCTCAAAATGCGTTGTAGTTTAACCAATTGTCCAAGACTGTTTCGGACTGTTTGAGATATTTTGCTTGCATGCATCATGTTTTGCGGTTTCCAAACAGTTTTGGATGTTAGAATCTGTTTAAAAATATGTCTAAAATCTGTTTTTCTGTTAATCAGCTGTCGCCCCCATACGAACGACAACTCTCAGAAGTTGAGAAACTTGTACGAGCTAAGGACTAACGAGGTCTTACCTTTTAACGTGTGATTCCTAACACGGGCCAGAATAAACCTATAAAGACCACTCTATGTAGGGAAGGATTTAATTCGATTTACGTGTGAGTAGAAGTGTGGTTCGAAAACATGTGCGCAAATAATCCTTCTTTCTTTTTTCGATAATTTTTTCATCCTTAATAGGAAATGGAATTTTCTCAAGCGCGACAATTGAAAATAGGGAGGATACCTTGCATCTTGCTGAAACCCTCCACCATATATGAGCTCTCCACCCTACTTGCCCTCGAGCAAGAAAACCACACTGTGGGGATATATGGATAAATAACTTCTTCAATGAATAAAGCTTACTATACTTGTTCATTAATCAAAAAGGTTGCAGTGGCCTTGGAGCCCCTGGTGGGACAACGAATGTACACAAGCTATTTCTAAAAGGGAACAAGTCATAACAACCTTGAAAAACCACTCAACGATATAAATTACGTAGAAGTTTAAAGAATATTAGCTGAAACGAACTTCTATTTTATCACCTTTTTTTGGAATTGACTTAATAAAAATCGTATCCGAGCTTATGTGGAGCAGTATATAAAAGATTCATGTGTCGAGCAGTGTATATACACTGAACACGACTCCGCCAGTTGCGCGGGGGATCCAGCGCAGTAAAAACTTCATACCATCAACATCAAAGTGCCGACATCGAAATGATCCTACTGGTTCTAATATAGCTATATACTGTGCTAAAGCGACCTTCCAGTGCCCACATAACCTTTCAAGTGATACCACGCTTCTGACAATTTTGCATTCGTATTTCAGATATACGCGAGTTACGTCGAAACAGATATCAAGAAACGTGCCTTATCTACAGGAGCCCGAGACTTTGCAAACTCATTATATTTCAAATCTTGTAATAATTGTCTTAATAAAGATTTATTCTTTGTCCTGATGTCGAAGAGAATAAACGCTTTTTGAGTCTCATGTGAAATCGATTTTCTTTTTAAAAACTAAGTTCTCGATTTCCAATACATAATTCGCGCGACTGTTTCGGTAAGTTTTTGTCACATCTTTATCGTTTAATTATTCTAATTGTATTATTGATGAGATATTACTATTTCATGCATTTTTTGTGTTGAAAACTTTCTACGTGATATGAGAGCTCTGTATATTTCATATACGCGTGACCGCTCGTGACAACTAATTCCTTTTTGTTCATTTTATTTTAGAAATGGCGTATAAGAGGCAGATTTTCAATCTCAATGATCGCACGGATATTGAAGCTGTCACAAATTTGTTCTTTACTGACACGGATGACGAGATTTAGTTATAGATGATAGCGATACAGATGAATAAGAACATGTTTCGGAACGTGATAACGATTCCGAGTCCGAATTGAGCGGTGAAAGCAATGCCGAAGACGAAGCAGACGGTTCCAACGAGGTTTAAATAGCTCACTTAAAAAACATGGAAGAGTTTTCGACTCATGGATTTGGCAAAAAAACCCAAACAAAAAAGTAAGCGACCACCTCGCAATATATTACTCCATCTCCCTGGAGTCATTGGACCTAAGAATCTCACGGACATCGTTGATATTTGGAAGTGCCTGAGTGCCTCCTATGATTGAGAGCATCGTGAACTTCACAACGTCTACAAGACCTAACTATTCTCGTCCAAGAGATGCCAGAGATACAGACAAAATAGAAATAACAGCCCTTTTAGGTTTGCTCTATTTGGCTGGCATCTTGAGTTAATTGAGTTAACCTTGAAGAACTATGGAGAATGAATGATTTCAAACAGTGATGAGTTTGAAAATATTTCTTTTTTTAATGAGAGCATTACATTTTGATGACATATATACGAGAATAGAACGAAAAAGAATGGATCGCTTGGCTACGTTAAGGAAATTTTCGAAGAGTTTGGGATCAAAATTTATGCCATGGTTGACGCTCGCATCTTTTACACTATTAAAATATACGCAGTAACAAACCACGAGACGTGGTAAAAAGGTTGGCAACACCTTTATTTAATATGGGGAGAACACTGACAACTGGTTTTCGGATTTAGATTTGATAAAAGACCTTGATGAGAATAATTGCCTTTGTAGGAACGCTGAAAAAAAATAAAGCCCAACTTCCCAATGAATTTAAATTTACAAAAAAGCGTGAGCTCAATACCAGTATTTTTGGTTTTAGGAAGGACACGACTCTTGTTTCTTACGTGCCTAAGTGCNCAGAATCGGTGTTGTTCATCTACTGATTTGCATTACCCGCTGTACGCGCAATAGCTTCTGATTGATCGACTGGATGACGGCAAAAGTGGAGGAGTCTAAGACCCAATTCACACAGAAAGGACGTCTGACAGAGGTGAGGCGCAGACCTTTGTCCCTTCCGCGTCTCTGCCAGACGTCCGTGTGAATTGGGCCTGAGGTCGTAAAAACGCCAACTTGGAAAATTCCGAAAAACTGAATATCCGATTTTCAGTTTTTTTCGGATATTTCCGGAAATACTCGGAATTTTTCAAGTTTTATAACAGTATTTCATTGGGCACAAAAAACACAACTGTGTCCCAATTTAAGCTTCGTCGTATCTCCTGTAGTTTAGGAGACCCCGGAAACCCCAGGTCGAATTTGAATTACCCTGTATAGCAATTATAGCATACCAAATATTTCTCATTATATATTATGTACTTACTTACGATTAAATTTTTGATAAGAGAAAACAAACAAATATAGGTATATTTATTGTAATGATTTTATTCTTCTGCAAGTAATACATTTTGATTTGGGGGGTGCTGGGCCATCAATGTGAATTGGATCCTCTGGTCTGTTATAATGTTCAAAACATCTCTGAAGAGTTTCGTCTGCACATTTCTTTGAAAGGTTCACCTGAAATTGTAATAATTTTCCATCACAGTTTGGAAAACGCATTTTTTGATAAATACCCACCTTTATTTCGTTTGAATTGATTACATCATGTTGAACGATTGTGATACTGTTTCGTGGTGAGTTTGGGCCCTCTAAAGTATATACACCCATGGTTTATCAACTTTCATTTGAAAGTACGTACATAAATAAANTTCGTGGTGAGTTTGGGACCTCTAAAGTATATACACCCATGGTTTTTCAACTTTCACTTGAAAGTACGTACATAAATAAATAATGAATATATGGCGATTATTATCTTATGAGTTAAATCGACAACAAGGGGAATATATCTGAAATCTAAATTACTGTGGATTGATAAGATAAATCTTTCCAGTTTTGTCAATAAACATCAGGGTCGTGTTTTAGGTTTTCAGAAAGTTATTACAATTGCATACATAAAGTAGAAAACATTTACAGGATTTTTTGGTACAAATAGAAAACATTAGATGTAACATAATTGTTAATTGGTTGTTAGCCTTAGCTAAATCGATTACAATAAATCAATTACTTTTCTTGAGAGTATGAAACTCATCCCGGAAAATCAGATTTCCGACAAGAACGCAATACTATGTCGCACCTAGTCAGACAGGTCCATACGGGGTGAACACGATCATTTGTCAAAGTCCAATGTCCAAGTCAAAGTCCAATGAAAAAGCCGATATTCAAGTCACAGAGACATATATGCATATATATATACAAAGGATTTGAAGCTTTATAACTCCTATTTAATTATATGCGAGCGCTTTCGACAGCTGGTCGTGCTATCATCATCTAGGCTCTACTCAAACTGAACGTGTCAGCCATGCCTCCCTCCCGGGTTGAGTAGCAATGAAGTAAAAACTTCGCCCCACAAAATAATTTTTGTGAGGAAAATTTAATACTCCACTCCATCCACCCCCGCTCTCCGAGCGGTCCTCAACTTATTAATGGGCACTTCAGCAAGATTGACATCTGACCTCTTTTGGTCGAAAGTCAACCTTTAGTTGCTATTACTTTCTGATCGGGTTATTTTATCTTGACTATTCCTAACTGAATTTTTACATGGGGGGCCCTAATGAACTGCCTGGCAATGGTTTCCGTCATGATTTCGCAGAATCCTGTTCTTCGATCAGGGTCATGTTCATTTAATTGGTGTACCATATTTGCACTTGCTGTTCTTCTGGAATGAACGGATGTTCTGGGGGCTTTTTGTTATGTACACTATCGGTAGTTGTTAATCTGGATACAAGTCCCCTCAAATATTTTCTACAGACTATTCCGAAAACGTTCAGTGAAAATCCTTTCGGTCTCGTGAAAGTTACGCGTGGCACCGTAAATAAAAATCGCTACAATTTTTTCTTCCGATGGACGAGAATTGACCATTTTAGAGATTGTTGACGTGGTACCTTTCTACTAGTGAAACCGATAACTAAATGAGACTATTGACTATTCTAACTGAACTATGATTTCATTTAATTTTTTTGTCCCAGATGGCGCCCACTCGCCATCTTGAAAGTTTCATCTGTCAATTTCACTTCAAGAGATGAAGTATTCATGCATTCATTTCATTATCCCAAATTTCAATTTTTTGAGTTGACCCGTTTAAAAAATAAAAGGGGGGACATTGAAGAAATGCACTGTATACAATTATATTTAATGCCACGCAGAAAGCTGAAGTAAAACCATCAGGCACCTATGCAACGTCTTCCATTTGGAAGATTCGTCGCAAGTAACTTCCCATATATGAAAAGCAGACATCAATTTCATTTGGTCGGGGCGATCACCGATAGACCAGTTCCGGAGTACTAGCTCCTCGTCATTACCGGGACAGTAATTTAAAACGGAGTGAATCGTCTGAATATCCTGAAAAAACAAAATCAATTCCAACTAGTCATAAGCTGTGCCTACAGTTGAATCAGTGGGAAGCACAACTGCGCCATCTGCAGATAAAGTCTGGAAGCACCTCCACAAGTACATACCCGGGGTGGAAGTCAGAATAATAAACAATTCCGGAGATGTCATTTGATATGCATTTTTGTCAGCTAACATGTGCTTGGAGGGCCGTTCTTTTCACATGAAGATGGTACATTCTACTGCAGACAGAGCTTGTGATTAGTTGGAATTGATTTTATTTGTTCGAGATATTTAGACAGTTCACTACATTTGAAATGACCCACCCGGCACTGAAGAGGAGCAGTGCTTCAAAACCGGTCTGTCGGTGTTCATATCGATCAAATGAAATTAATTTCAGCTTTTCATATATAGGAAGTTATTTGTCACGTGGTTGGCTTTCATTTTTGTCGGCAACATGCAGCTTGGACGGCCGTCCTCTTCACAGGAACTCACGAATCTGATCAATAATAGTATACGGACAAACAAATGATATAATTCCAGAAAACGGCTCACTTGTCGGAAAACTATGGTAAATATTGATATACGAATGATAATAAGTCTAACGAATCCTTGCGCTAGGATAGACAAGTGCAGTTTTTTCTCATAATGCTATCTTCTCGTGAAGAGTGAAATATTATTTGTCATTGTAAATTCTCACAATTAGACACAAAATAATGTTTAATAGAAGAGGAGACTGAACAGACCTGTAACCTGAAATGACAATTTTATCTAAAAAAAATGTTCTAGAATGCGGAACGCTGTATCAGCTGGTAACAGGTCGAGTATAAACACTCTTACATGTTTTAACTGAAATTACCCTGGTAAAGCCATCTTTCAAAATAACAGGATTAAGTGTCATTATTGAATTCGATCCAACCATTTTCTCTTCAGCCATGAAGTATTTAAATACTTCATGTGCCGTCTATTTAAAAATGACTGATGCATTTTCTGCAACAACTTCCAGCGTAACAATCAATTCTATTCAATATCTGGTATTTCGGTATTAGAAGGTATGAGTGGTGGAGTAAGAGCCTGCAAGTCCTGCGTATCTAAGCTCAATTCGCATAGAAGGCGAGAGTTTAACACAGTTTTTATTTATACAATAACTCTACAATAACTGCCGCTCTTCGAAGGTGAGAGCTGGTTCGAGTGAGATTTGATAGACTTTATTCAGAATTCCCAAAGTTCACTGTAGTTGGAAAATTTTGGACAATCTATATGCAATGTGATTCGGTCCTGAAGAGCGGCAGATTCTGTAGTAGATGATAGATACTTTGGGCACTTACAAAATTTAACCTGGAATCAAAGTAAATATCTGAGCATCTTCCTCTTCGGAAAATCAAATGCAGCAAAAACGCGTCTATGAATAGGGTCCAATGTCGACCCGAGGCAAGTTTTAGGATAGAGCGAGATCTAATTATGGCGCTCCCCTTACTCCTGTGTGCACGTGTAAGCATGGTCTACGGAACTGAGAAGACCTTAGTCTATGTCTAATTTCTTAATTGATAACATCCATACTCTTGGCAATGCACGTTTTACTGTACTCTGCCGAACTCTAAAAACCTGATTCGGTCCCCACCGGGACAGGCACAAAGTATATGCTCTGCTGTTTCATCATTAATGAGGTAGTCGGATAGTCAAGGTGTAAGATTTCCACCTTAATTCCCGCGACAACCTTCCCATATGAGGGTTTTTGCACGTCAGCTACACCTGACGATGCCCTAGATTCAACCGTGCAGGGCTTTTTGCCTCTGGTATTGGTGAATCATCACTTGAGCGCAAACGTTTGTTAACCTGATCATGGGGAGTTTGTTTCTCCACTTGAGGCAGATTCTACGTACTCCGCTCAAGAATTTGGTGCAAGGCGGTTTCATAAGATACCCCGCTCTTGAGGAGACGACTCAGTCGTTTCCTGGCTGATATCACATATAACAAAAAAGTATAGTATATACACTTCAAGCGCTTACTGCAACTATGTTTTCGACATGGGAATCTGGTTCGTTTTCCATCTCATTGTAAACGTTGGTAGTACTTTTAAATTCCAATATCAGAACAATGCTGAAAAAATGATTATGTTAGATTCCTATATTCTACATTGACATCAAACATACAGTTACCCCCGAAATACCAGGGATAACTGCTAGTAAATGTCAAAGATACCAAATTTTCCAATAACATCAAAAAGTAGTATCAATCAATATTTTTACTTTATTTTAATTTCCGCGAGTGCACTGATACCAATCCATGTGATCATTGTGATTACTTCTTACGAATCCTTTAGTAGTTTAATCAACTGTTATATTCATTTCATTGCTTTACTTCACTGGCTACGCACACTTTTCTCTACTGATCTGCCTACTCTCCACAATTTCGTTGCAATTCATACAATTATGAATTAATCCAGCAATTTCTTTCGGACCCATTCAAGTATTACATAAGCACTATAGGGGGGCAGGGGGGTTTTGGTTTGCTTATTTTTGATGAAATGGGGGCTTGGGGGTCAAGTCTACATGGTGATTACGTCATCCTCAGTTATTTACTTTTTACACATATGTCATCCCACACATTGTCTATGTTTGAAAAATGAAAACTGTATACAACAATGTTTACGTAAGCATGGGAGGGGGGAGGTTTGCTTACTTTTGCTGACAAGGGGGTGGGGGTAAATAATTGTAATAAATATGCTTATGTAATACTTAAATGGCCCCTTCCACAAATTCCATACTACTTCCAATCCTTCCAACCATTTTGCGAATCAACGCGACGTTCAATACTTCCTCCAGTATAATCTATCGTTGTTTCTTGAACAATCTCGAAGACCGATCTTGACTACACAATTCTGTAGTTCGCTATACTTTCGAACTTTTCAGTTCATTACTAAACCCAAATGATTAAAGCGTGAATTTATTGTATTAACTTTCGGGCTCTCTTTTCATCTCTCTCATCGACTGATACTTATATCTATTCCATATTCTGTGATGAACGACATTTTTGACTTTGGCCTTGACGTGTGTCATTTTCCATTAACTCAAGTATGAGTAGCAAGCAAACGATACTTAATACTGATTAAGTCTTTCCCTACAGAAAAAAAAACTATTTAAAAAAAATATGTTTTTCCGTTAACCATCTGTCGCACCCCTACGAACGACAACCCTCAGAACTAGAAACTTGTGCGAGCTAAGGATTAACGAGGTCTTACCTTTTAACGTATGATTCCTAACACGGTTTGGACGATAGCAAGTGAAAATCGATCGTTCAGACTGGGGCTTGAACCACCGATCAACACGGCTGTCAATTCGAGTGAGTGAACAAAGCACCTACGTCGAACCGCCTGGCTCAAGCTAATACATTTGCAGAATAATACGTGGCGGTACATCAAAGAGTTTGTGCGTATCAGTTCGAGGTCAACACAGTCATGAAAATATGTTTTATGATAAATTATGGTTAACAATGAGGGCGAGTTCAGAAAAACTGTGAACCTTGAGTTGATGTCCTAGCTCAACAATTATGGACATACAGGATTGCTTACTTACATATATCGCCACGTTAAACAAGCGCCGAGCAGATGTGACGTAACACTAGTGACACTTTTAGTAGTTGCCATAAGACTGTGTGTTATTTTAACAGTTTTTGAGGATTATTTTCGGACAGTATTACATTGTTTTTGTTTATTTTGATTGAATTTTTATTTAACTATACCAATTAGGTTTCTGAAACATTGAGTTTGTTATCGTGAAAGTCGTATTTTTTTGTGCTTTTGAACATTTTTTAAACTGGTGAAACGAGTAGACGCTATTTGAGACACTGTTATTTTCTTCCGTTTTGAGTTTTGTTTTTGCCACCGTGGATCTTTTTTTTTGTTTTTTGAACATTTTCAAATTAAATTAAGGTAAAAATTGGAAATATTCATATTTTTAAATTAAATTAAATCAAGGTGAAAATTGTAAATATTCACATTTTTGTAAGTAATAGCAATAATTGTCTAACCATTAAATAACCTTGTAATTTTTAGTTAAAATGCCTGGTCGTATTTGTGCAGTGTCAACTTGCAAAAGCAATCAGTTGACTTTAAAGAAAAGTGGTGTTACTGATGTAATATTTCACTCTTTTCCTATTGCTAAGGATATGGTTTCCACAACTTTGCAAAAAGAATGGATTTGTCGCTGCAAATGAGGGGATATATTCACTCTCAAAATGAATTTGTTTGTTCCAAACATTTTACAGAAAATGATTATGAACGAGACCTTGAAAATGAATTGTTAGGTAAAAACTTATTTTATTAATTCATTGCTTAAAATAAATATGTTTTTTATAGGTTTGCCTTTGCGTCGTAAATAAAAAAAACTGCTGTACCTAGTGGTAATCTAAATTATCCAACAATTGGATAGAGGGAAGTTTTACAGAATACAAGTCGCAATATTAGAGCCTTACAGAAACAACACAATGAAACTATCAGTATGTTACTTGGATATGAGTCAAGGTGTGTTAAAACATGTTTTAATGATGATGAAATTAGCTGAAGACGATTTCACTGGCTTTGAGAAAACAGTTGTTCTACAATTTGATAAAAGAAAAGTTAAATCTGTTCAAGAATATTATGTAACAAATGATGAAATAATGGGACCCCACAGTTACATGCAAGTTGCAAAAGCTCGTGGGCTCTTTTCTAAGTGGAAGCAGCCAGTCTATATTACATTTGTCCAAAAAATTACAAGGGAAATATTGCTAGATATTATTTCTCAAGTGCACAAAATTAATTATAATGTGGTGGCATGTGTAAGTGACTGTGGAGGTGGCAATATTGGATTATGGAAAGAATTGGGGATTGATCATAATAAAACCTTCTTTCTTCATCCTGGCACTGATAAAAATGTTTATATGTTTGCTGATGCTCCACATCTTTTAAAGCTCATTCGTAATTGGTTACTTGACACAGGTTTCATTTTGTATGGAAATATAAAAATTACCAAAGAGCCCCTTCA